TGGATTTCCTCAGAAGAATGAAGTGCGCTACAAGGCAAGGTTAGTGGCTAAAGACTACGCTCAGAAGGAAAGAGTTGATTATAATGAAGTGTTTTCTCCAGTTGTAAAGCACTCTTCCATTAGAATTTTGTTGGCCTTAGCAGCACAGTTGGATTTAGAGCTAGCCCAACTTGACGTGAAGACAACGTTCTTACACGGAGAATTGGATGAAGAAATCTACATGACTCAGCCAGAAGGATTCACATTTTTTGGAAAAGATAATTGGGTCTGTAAGTTGAACAAGTCGTTGTACGGACTGAAGAAATCTCCGAGGCAGTGGTACAAACGGTTTGATAAGTTTATGATTGGACAGAAGTACACGCGAAGCAGACATGATCATTGTGTGTATTTACGCAAACTGCAAGATGGATCTTTCATTTACTTACTCTTGTATGTAGATGACATGTTGGTTGCATCAAAGAGCCAAGTGGAGATTGATCAATTGAAGGCTCAGTTGAATCAAGAGTTTGAGATGAAAGACTTGGGGGAAGCTAAGAAGATACTCGGGATGGAGATAAGCTGGAACAGAATGAGAGGCAAGCTTTGTTTGACTCAGAAGCAATATCTGAATAAGGTAATACAACGATTCGGCATAAAAGATGAGACGAAGCTTGTAAGTACACCACTTTCCCCTCATTTTAAGTTAAGTGCCCAGTTATCGCCAAATTGTGATGAAGAACGAGAGTACTAGGCTAGAGTCTCATATGCAAATGCAGTTGACAGTTTGATGTATGCGATGGTGTGTACAAGGCCCGACATTTCACAAGCAGTTGTTGTTGTTAGCAGGTATATGCATGACCCTAGTAAAGGTCATTGACAAGCTGTGAAATGGATTCTGCGGTACATTTATAATACTGTAGACGTTGGATTAGTTTATGAGCAACATGAATTTGGTCAATGTGTAGTTGGATATTGTGATTCTGACTACGCGGGTGATTTGGATAAGCGAAGATCAACGACTGGATATTTGTTCACTTTTGCAAAAGCTCCAGTCAGTTGAAATTCTACCTTACACTCAACAGTTGCTTTGTGTACAACAGAGGCAGAGTATATGGCGGTTACTGAAGCTGTGAAGAAGGCTATTTGGCTGTCAACAGTTGCATTGTGACAGTCAGAGCGCTATTCACTTAGCGAAAAGTATTTCATGCAAGAACGAAGCATATTGATGTTCGCTATCACTTTGTGCGGGAGATTGTAGAAAATAGAACCGTTGTGTTGAAGAAGATCAAGACAACGGAGAATCCTGCAGATATGATGACCAAGGTAGTGCCAACAGTCAAGTTTGAACATTGTTTAGACTTGACAAACATTCTGCATATTTGAGCTGGCGCCGTGAGGCGCATTTGGAGACACCGCTAGCAGTTGAGTTGGGAGTGGGAGCAAAATTAGTCAAGGTGGAGAATTGTTAGATTTTGATTAATTTTATGTCCCACATCGGATGTGTACCAAAGATGTGTAGGATCTTTTTAGTATAAATAGGTCCCTTGCCTTTGGGTTACAATTGCACCTTATTCTATTCTCTCCTATTTAGAAGGAAATTCTTAATTAAGGAAATCCTATTTTGTAGGTTATTTAACACTAGTTGTATTTTGTTGGTGAGTTTAGTAAATTTGGCGTTGCGGTTGGCGGTGCCCGGAGACGTAGGCTATTTTCGCCGAACTCCATTATCAATTTTTGTGTTCTTTTTATTTCTCGTCTTTTATTTGTGTTGGCTTATTTTGGAGTAATGTTCGCCATATTTGTTGGAGGGGTATTTTGTCCGCTGCGCTTGTTGTGATACCCCAACACTATACACGTTTTTAAACACTGATATTTTTGCCAATTTTAAAAATGATGTATATAATTGCAATTTTCGAAAAGCTAATGGTTTTATTAACAATTTTAACTTTTAAGTCTTTTTAAAATAGGATAAGGAAAGAGAAGAGAATAATTATTAATTATACATAAATAGAGGAAAAATATATCACGCCTTCAATAATCCCTCTCGCAGAGACGAATTAGTAGTGCCTTCGAGACGAAAAAAAAAAAA